AAGTATATTTGCATATAAAATAACCAAGTTTTTGACACCAAACATGATCTTATATTAATCGTGAGTACCTACTTGGCCAATACTTTACCTATTTACATATATATTTGTCGGACCACACTAGAATTATAGAACCAACCTACGTGATCCTTGCGATAAGCCTTTGTATATATTGTTTATCCTTATCTCCTCTGTTATCTCTTATCTCTTCCGATATCTGTAGATATTTATTCCCAGTCTTTGTACTTATCTCAAACTCTATATTTGTACTTGTATATACCAAACTATACATCAATAAACATCATTGAATTCTCTTCAAATCTGAGTGTATTCATGGTATTAGAGCCATAACTTGGCCATCGGTGATAACTCCTATTCGTGTTAAAATGGCCTCTGATTCCTCTACTACAACAACCTCAACATCCAGTCTTCAACTCCATCGTTGGTGTTCTCTAGAAATAGTCTCACCAATCTAGTCTTGGTCAAAATGGACGGCAAAAACTATCTTCTTTGGAAATTCCACATTCTTCCTATCCTGAATGGTGCAAAACTTACTCGTCAATGGCACTAACAAATGCCCACCTCAGTCATTGGAAAATCATGCTAAAGAAAATCCTACATACTCCTCATGGGTTCAATAGGACCAGCTTCTGGCTATGAGAAGAGGTATAGGCCAATACAAAGTACACCACTAGGAAAGATAAGGATAACTATTGTCCTATTGTGAGAGGAATGCTTATGGAATTGATTCTGTAGATGCATGGTGCGTATGGGATCTAACGTGGTCACTAACACCCTCTGTCAAACTTAACGTTGGGGATGAGATGTTGAGTTTGCTCCAAAGAAGACAATGACGTCGCAAGCTGAGAGCCTTAGTCATGATACCGGCAACTTGGTCAACCGTGGAGATGTATTTCAGAACAAGAGACTTCTGGCTTATCTACTCCTTGACGACATGAAAGTCAACTTCGATGTGTTTCATACGAACATGAAATATAAGATTGGCTGAAAGATAGGTAGTGCTGATGTTGTCACACCAGAGAATAGGAGGATCAATGATTGGGAAGCCTAGTTCGGTTAGAAGAGAGCGAAGTTAGAGGAAGCACAAGCAATGCTTCTATACTTCGATTCTATGAGAGGACCATGAGATGAGATTGTTCCCCATGAAAATGCAAGGTCCCCCTTGTGAACGTCAATGTCTAGACACCTAGCCCAATTGGCATCCAAAAATGCATGGAAATGTGAGCTAGAGGAAGGTGTAAAGCAGAGGCCAGTATCAATGGTGTAATTAAGATATCGAATTCGTTTTCCAGCAATGTAGTGAGAGGTGATAGGCCAATGCATGAACTGGCAGACCTTGTTAACAACAAACGAAATGTTGAGTCGCGTAAGAGTTAAGTATTGCAATGCACCAACTAACCGCTGATAGCAGGGGGGGTTAGCAAGAGGTTCACCATCATCACTCCATAATTGGATATCGATAGCTAGGGGAGTCTTGACTGATTTAATGACATCAAGTCCTTCTTTGCTTAGAAGATCAAGAATATATTTCTGTTGTGATAAGAACAAACCAGAAGTGGTACACGTGGCCTGTACTACCAAGAAATAGTGAAGAGGCCCTAATTCCTTGACTGCAAAGGTAGAGCTCATCTTATCAACAAGAGAAGAGATGGATGCTGCACGAGGCAGTGACTATGATGTCATCAACGTAAAAGAGAACAAAAAGATAATGGCCACCATGATGATGAATGAAGAGAGAGAGGTATCAGATTTAGATGCATTGAACCCAATGGATTGGAAGAAAGAGCTGAGCTTTTGATACCAAGCTTGTGGTGCCTGTTTAAGGCCATAAAGAGAGCACCGAAGATGGCACACATGAGTAGGATGATCTTGATCAACAAAGCCTGGAGGTTGTACCAAATAAACATCCTCTTCGAATGACCCATGAAGAAACGCATTGTGCACATCCAATTAGCACAAATCCCAACCATGAGATACAATAAGAGAGGGAATAACCCAAATTGTAGTGGGTTTGATAACATGACTAAAGGTTTCTTGAAAGTCAAGACCAGCACGTTGGTTGAATCCCTTAGCTATGAGGTGTGCTTTGTAGTGTTCAATAGATCCATCAGGTTTTCATTTTAAACTATAGACCCACTTACACCCAACAACATTAACACTAGGGGATGGAGGTGTGAGAGTTCATGTACCATTTTCCACCAAGGCATTGAATTCGTCTTCCATGGCTAGCCTCCAGTGAGTGTCTTTTATTGCTTGTGTATAATGGGTTGGCTCATCAATAGATGTAGGGAGAGGATGTTTGCTAGCGGCCAAGAAGAGTATTTGTCGTGGCTTAAAAATACCATATTTTGAACAGGTCACCATGGGATGATGATGAGCTATAGATGATGGTTTGAGGAGGATTGGGAGAGCAGTGGGCTTCAAACACATGTACAGTAGATGGAGAAATAGTAGCAGCCGGTAAGGGAGACTCCTCGGGAGGCATCACAGTGAAAGATAGAGTAGTGGCAACAATAAGAGTAGGTCCAACCCACGTAATGATAGAAGGCCGAGAAGCTATAGTCATGTTATGTGAGGATGCAAATGGAAAATTATCCTCATTAAACAACACATCACGGGAGATAAAGAGGCGGCCCGAGTCTCGATCCAGTAGAGATAACTCTTATAGGAAGTAAGATTTCCAAGGAAGATGCAGCTACGAGATCGATATTGTAATTTGTTTGTATTGTTTGAGCAACGATGGGGAAAGCATTTGCATCCAAAAACTTTGAGTGTTGTAATTAGCTGCTTAATGAAACAGAAGCTCCCATGGAGATTTAAATTTTAAAACATGAGATGGTAATAGATTGATAAAAAATGCTACTGTGGTTACTGCATAGTCCCAGTATTTTGTAGGGACGGAGGCATGGGCCATCATGGTCAGAGCCATTTCAACAAGATGGTGATGCTCGCGCTTAGCCCAACCATTTTGGGCTTGAGTATGAGGGCAAGAAGTACGGCGGTTGATGCCAACTTGCTGAAAGTATGAATAAAAAATATGAAATTCAGAGCCCCCGTCACACTGAAAAGATTTGATAGAAAGTCCAAACTGATTTTCAACTTGTTTCTTAAACATAACATAGGTAGTAAAAGCATCGGACTTGTTCTTAAAGAGAAACACCCAACAATAACGACTATAATCATCGACAAAACAGATATAAAAGCAAAAACTGCCACTAGAGGTAACTGGGGCTGGTCCCCATAAATCACAATGAATGAGCTCCAAAGGTGCTGAACTCTTCGAATTACTGCGTGTGAAGGAAAGGCGATGAGATTTGCCTAGTGCACTAAACTAATAGAAGGAGAGAGATGTGGAGGATGTAGCAAGGTTAAAGTCATGAACTAATTTGTGTGTAATGTGAGCAGATGGGTGCCCTAATATGGAATGCCAAACGTCAAGAGAAGAATGAACACCAACACAAGCCAGTTTGGAGCTAGCAATCGAAGAGAGTGATGGAAGTTGAAGCTCATATACACCGTTCTTATTCAACCCATGAAACACAGTCACCTTGGTTTGCGATCCTTGATGAAGAATTCAAGGGGTGAAATTCAAAAAATACATCATTGTCGGTTGAGAACTTAGCAACAAATAGTAAATTTAACGAAATATCTGGTATAAAGTGGAAAAAATTGCTTTGTGATGTGCCCAAGGCAGAAAACTATGTGCTATGTAGCGGAAAACACTACTTCGTGATGTGCCGATGGGCGAAAAAACCATGTGTTATTACAACGGAAAACTCATGTGCTATGAAGCAGAGAAAAATGTGCTAATAGCAGAAAACACTAATTTGTGATGTGCCAAAGGTAGAAAAACCATGTGCTATGTAGTGGAAAACTCATGTGTTATAAAGCGGAGAAACATGTGCTAGTAGCGAAAAACATTGATTTTTGATGTGCCAAAGGTGGAAAATCCATGTGATGTGCAGCAGAAAAACTTATGTGCTATAAAGTGGGAAAAAACTCATGTGCAATAAAACGAAAAAATTCATGTGCTATGAAGTAAGAAAATATGTGCTATAGTGTGGAGGAACATGTGCTATAGAGTGGGACAACTCATATGCTAGAGAGCAGAAAAACTTATGTGGGATAAAACGGAAACAAATCATGTGTCAGGGAGCAGAAAATGTCATGTGCTCGAGAGCGGAAAATCCATGTGTTATACAACAAAAAATTCTGATTTATGATGTGATAAATGGCAGAAAATCCATTATATGCTTATAAAGCGGTTAAACTTACAAAACCTGTAAAACCTAAGTACTTGTGAAAGATGGTGATAAAAGACAATGCAACTTATGACATGCTTGTGAAGTGTTTATTCCAATGAGCTAATGTGCTACAATGTGATAACAAAATTGTTGGAACTAATGATGTGCTAAGAGCAGAAAATCTGTGACTCGATAAATTAGTAAAATCAATGATGTGATTAAAAACAATGATTCATGATGAGAACAATGTAATTATTATGATGGAAACCAAAATTTGCAATGTATTGCGCAATAATGAAGACATGAAAATAACACAAAATGACATAAAGGATGAAAATGATGATCAAACTAAAAAAATAAAAAATGCCAATAATATGTGAGATGTAATGAATGCAAAATGCGACAAAAATTCAAGAACTATCATCTCAACATATTTGAATTTGCTTAATTGTCATTTCTCATTTGCTCATTCTCCTTTTTGGGATTCCTTTTTATACACATTTTTACCACACTTTACACTTTCCTTTTTATTACTTATTTCTTTTTTTTTTTTGTGCATAATGAACAACTGAATTTCTTTGAAAGATTTTTGCAATGATACGACTTGAGCTTCTTCTTTGAGGCACATCTGTGCTCAACTCGGATGCCAAAGGCCATGGATTGCCCTCACTTTATCTCTCTCTTCTTTTCTTTTCTTCTTCTCTTTTTGTTCTTGCAACTTCCAGAGTAGAAAGACTGTGAAAGTTCAAACAGAAAGGAGACTAAAGTTTTCTCCTTTTGTTGCACATTTTTGGAGGCTACAGGATCAAAACAAGAGATGCCACTAATGTTGATTCAAAATAGAACATTTATGTCCAACGTGACCCACATCGCACCTTAAATGCGATCTCACAATCTTTTTCTTCTTCTTCTTCTTCCATTCAATGTTGCGATCGATCAAAGCATGTAAGGTATCAACTGACTTTGATGCTTCTGCAATACTATTAACCTATTCCCTACAGAAAAGCTAATAAGCCTAACAACAAACAGAATAAAAATTTGAAGGACGAACTACAAGAAGCATTTGAGCAGAAACCAACCCATTTTCTGTGGTACCTTGGAGACGTAATCCATTTCTGCCAACTTGAGCTCAATCCCCAGACACCCAAAACGAGGGTACACGAGAAAGCATGCTTCATAGAACTGCATGACCTTGAGCTCTTCCTCTCCAGAACTCAGCATAGCTAGAAGTTCTTTGAAAGCCTCTGTCATCTTCTTAAGAGGTCTCTCTCTTTCCTCCATCGAACAATCATAACGAGAACTTGGAACGAAGAACTCAGAAGTGAGCCTTTTAACCGCTCAACTGACCTCCCATTGAAGTCTTCGGGCTACAAGGCCGCCTACTGCAGTGAAATTGTAGGTCGATGGTTTTGAAAGAGTATCGCTAGAGATCTGGCCATTGATGGACGATGGCCGGTGTGGTGTGCTTGCTAGTGTGTTAGGTAGGACGGTCCGGTGGAGGAGAAAGAGAAAAGCTGAAAAGGGGGCGGAGGGTTTGAACTGGGAGAGGTTTTAAATTTTTTATTTACTTTTTGTCGTTTTGTGCCCAGTTCAACTGCATACCCCAACTAACGGCCAAAGCCTCGTTAAAGTTAGCCCGTGTATACCCAGACGACATGGTCATCCCTCATTGGCGGGTTCACAGAACGTGGACTCATTGGGGTTCGTCTTAGCATTTAGTAAGTCAGGCTCAACAAATAAAAGCAAAAGAAGAAAAGCGGGGAGAATTTTTAGGGAGGTGACTGGTGAGAATACACACACCAGAAAAAAAGATTATCCATCACAACATTAGTTTTTAAATTTTGGGGAAAGTTACACTTCAGTACCCTAAACTTTGGGGATAGTATCAAGTTAGTATCCCAACTTTCAAATGTGTCACTGTAATGCCCAAACTTTCAGTAAGTGTTATGTTGGTCCCAACCGTTAATTGACCGTTATTTGATCACATGACAAGTGCAACTTAAAATTTTGGAAAATGTCAAAACTACCATTCAAAAGAAAACATTGTTCATTGTTTTCTGCCTTAAGATTGAATCACTTGAGGTGTTTGAGTCTTTCATACAGAAGTTCAACTAGCTTCTTAGGATTTTGAATCTCTTTTATATTTCCATTGTTGACATGAATACCTGAAGCCATAATAAGCTTGATATCAGAGGTGGTTACTGGTTACAGATTGGATACCAATCATAAGAAAATTAGATGATAATTGAAGGGCATTTTTGTCCTTTTAAATGATAATTAGCGTCCACTAACGGTTTTGGACCAACTTATCACCTTTTGTAAGTTTGGGTAGTACAGTGATATGTTTGAAAGTTCGGGTATTAGCTTGACACTATCCACAAAGTTCAAGGTGCTAAAGTGAAATTTTCCCTAATTTTTTTTTGTTATTTTAAGCATAATAAGATGGATGCAGATTAAATTTCCATGATATTAGATTTCATATCAGATTTGGATCTAAAGGTTTGATAATTGGATCTTAAATGCAGATGTAGCTGAATCTAATCTGTTCTTAAAAATGTGTTTATTTGAATAATCACTTATTTTGGGTCGGGACCATACCAATAATCATTTATTGGTGCTTTTCTGAAATTAGTGCTTTTCTGAGAAGAAGCACATATTCAAGAAACCCAACGTTCCAACTTATTTTTAAGTGCTTATATATTAAGTTCTTATTTGAAATCTTTCTTCCAAAATACTCCCTGATTATATTTCAAAATACCAATATTACCCTTTTCTCGAAGAATATAGGGTTTTCTCTATTTGGTGAAGCTTTCTTCTCTACTCTTCTTCTCACAAACTCCATAGTAGGGGCAGCACTACTCCAAAGCTCGAACCAGAAACTCGTACATCCAGGTTGGTGAACATTCTTCTCTACTCATTCTTTTTTTTTTTTTTTTTTTTTCTCATCTTCAATTGAACAACCACTACATTCGTCCAGCTATGTTTTGTTTTTGTTTTTTTTTTTTTTTTTTTTCTGTTTTGTGAATACTAGTTTCTTCTTCACGTTGGGGATTTTCCAAGCTCGGACCAGAAGCTCGTGCATCCAGGTTGGTGAACATTCTTCTCTATTCTTTTTTTTTTTCGTTTTCTCATCTTCAACCAAACAGTGAATGTGTCCATCTCTATTACTCCTTTATTTTTGTGAATACCATTTTCTTCTTTCTCGTAAACATTGGGGATTTTTCCCCTTATGCTGTGAGTTTTTTTTAATGGAATGTCTTGAAGCCATCACTCTAATGCTCTTTTTATCATATTTTCCCCTTATGCTGCGATTTTTTTAAATGGAATGTCTCGAATCTATCACTCTAATGCTTTGTTTATCATATTTTTCTCCTTATGATGTGAGCTTTTTTTTCTTTTTTGTTCAATGGAGTGTCTTACTTCTCAAAGGCGGAGCCAAGAAATTGTTATAAGGGGGCTGAAACATAAATGAAGTATGGACGGGCCCATAGGGGGGCCAACCATTGAGATGGAGAGTGGAAGAGGGGAAAATTTACATGAAAAGCTGTATTACAGTGGGGATTTTCTGAATCATAAGGGGGGGGGGGGGGGTGCATGGTTCCCTTGGGTCACCCCGGCTCCGCCCCTGGAGCGTCTTGAAGTCATCACTCTAATACTCTATTTATCATATTTTTCCTCTTTTGATGTGAGTTTTTTTTTTTTCTTTATTCAATGAGTGTTTTGAAGCCATTGTTCTAATGCTTTGTTAATCATATTTTTTCACTATTGAATGGAATGTCCTAAATGTTGGGGAAAATTGAGCTCAAATGGAGATGGTTCATGGTTTACATTTTATATCATCTCTTCTAAATGAATAATTGCTCAAAATGAGGGTTAAATCTGTCTTTTTAAATGAATAAATGCTTATTAGAGAAAAAGAACACCAAATACCTAATATGAAATAAATGCTTATTTTTTAAAATAAGCACTTGAAAAAGCTAAATGCCAAACATAAATAAGTGCTTATTCGAATAAGCACTTGTTTTTAAGCACTTATTCAATAAGCCCTCCCAAACTTAGTCTTATTTGGAAGTGAAGGTGAAGGGAGACCTTACAAACCCTTAAAATCTAGAATGCCTTCGCCACATGTTTGCACTTTAACTTCGGTGAAGTTGATAAACTTTCAGAAGGTGAAGCCGAAAGTTTTTTGGTTTGTAGTGTATCATGTATGTGCCTTTGGTTGAAAGTGGAGTTATCATATTCATAAGACGCTAAAACGCCCACAGCGGGATTCCATCAATGAGAATAAGTCCTAATGCGATTATAAATCTTATTGAACTTTATTCTTACACATCCAATTTAGTGGCTCAAGTCGGGGTGCAAGTCGGGCTGGGTAGGGCTTGGGCCTAGCCCGAACCAAATCCAAGGCCAAGCCTAGTCTTTTCAATCCGAATCCAGCCTATATTGTAATTTGATGCACTCAATGAGGCTTGATTTGGTTAATGAACCTATTGTAAAATTACACATGTATGTATGTATTTATGCAAATACTTATGTATATATGTAAATATTCATGTAAATTTGTATATATGGATGTGTATAACCAGGCCAGACTTGAGATGGGATAAGCCCCAGGCACAACCCAAAAATAAAAATCCCTAAAGTCTTAACCCAAACCCAGCCCGATGATTGAAAATCCAAGCCCAACCCATATAAGATTTCAGGCTGGTTCGGTTTGGGCTCGGGCTGATCCTGCCCAAGTTACTTCCCTAGACTTAAGGCAAAAACATAATAAGGCCTACTAACTGATGGAGCTCATTAATAGTTCATTTTCTATTCTTAACGGAAGAGATCATTGGAAATTGATCACCAGATACAAAGAAAGAAAAGAAGGAAATGGATTGGGTGGGCCTATCATATAAAAGAAATTACAAACCTTCTACCTCATTCAATATTTCATTTTTGACAAAGACCCACCTTGGAACTTTCTAATTTCAGCAGTTCACCCTCACCCTATTAATGGGCTTGACGGTAGAGATAAAATTGTGAAATGCCCATCTATAAAGTTCTTTATTGTTTTGTATTTTCTTTTTTTTTCTATATTTTACTCATTTTTGTCGGCATTTTTTTTTGTATTTTTGTTCTATGTTCTCAATTTTTATTGTATTTTTGTTTTTGTTAATTTATATTTTCTGTATTATATTGTTTTTATGTATTTTTATATTTTTTTCTTTGTTATATTTTTAAGTTTTTCTGTTTCTTGTATCATGATTTATTTTCTTATTTTTCTTCAGTTTTGTTGTATTTTTTATTTTTTTGCAATTTCTTAATTTCCTATATTTTCTAATTTTTTTTTTGTATTTTATAAAATTTATACAAAATGGTCTCATATAATGATATAAGAGTGCTTTGGGGTTTTAGAAATATTGTTTAAACATTATTTTTAGGTTGCACTTGTTGCCTAGGTAACCTAACCCAAGAGGGGGGTGAATTGGGTTCTACATGCTTCTTTTCCAACTAATCTTCTCAGAACTTTGATCAGATGTTGTGGAAAGCAATAATCTGAAGAGTCGTATGACAAAAATAATATATACTGTGCATAATAAATTCAAAGAACAACAACGAAAACACAATACATACAAATTTTATTGAGGTTCAACTAAACCCGGCCTATGTCCTCTCCCCAGGCACATCCCCTATGAATTTCCATCGATCAGCTAGGCATCTTAGGTCCTAGCAAAACCTTGACAATAGTTAGACTTCCTAGGTGCCAATAAGATATATCTTTACACTGCATAGACTTGTAGGTACTATCCCAAATACGACTTTGCCTTCTTGCAAAAGACTTGATGCCCTTTAATAATTTCAATAGGTTTTATCTAAACCCTTGAATAATTTCCATAGGTCTTATCCAAACCTTTCACTGTGTTCTATCTCAAAACACAGCTAGCAAACCACTAGCTAATAGCTGTACAAGCTCAAATCTGATATAACAATACAAGCACAAGGAAATGTACTCCCACTTACTAGATTGATAATACAAACAAAACTATTTCAGAATGCAAGAAGATACACTAGATGCTTTGGGCTCAATGGGGTTTCTCTCACACTTAAACTCAAGGGTTTTTCTTTCTTTTCAGCTTATGGGGAATACAATAGATTTTTACTTTTGTTTGCTCACATTTCCCTCTTTTTTTCTTGTTAAACCCTTTGAGTATCACCTTTATTACCTAGGTTCTTTCTCATTCTCATAGATTTTTATATCTAAAGCAATATGGCCGTTTTTAATCAACTAGAGGTTGATTAAACCTGTATTTGAAAGTTTTAGAGACATGTTTTCTAAGAAGCTTCAAAACTTTCCTAACGGAAAAAGAGTTGTTGTAGCTCAAATTGTCAAAAAAGCAAATCATGTGAGAGAGTTTTCTACATGAACTAGTTAACTGGTAAGCTCTAATAGTCGATTACTTGCCTTCCTAGACACTACTATCACAAGTAATTGACTACTACTTTAGGAG